AATGCAAACTTTGATAAGCAGTTCTCGATAATCACTTCTCAGCAATTATTTGTTATTATTACAGTTTAACATTATAAAATTAACAAAAATAATAATAAAACTCATATTCTGGCAAAATAGCCACATGGCAGCCAAAAACCGTATATTCCCTTCTTGTTCTCTCGCCCATTCATGCATTCTTTCCAAAAATCGGGACTTTTTTAAAATGCCGCGGGACGCGGGACAAATTGTTCAAAAGTGGGACTGTCCCACCAAAAGCGGGACATCTGGTCACCCTACTCTTGCCTCAGCCTCCTGAGTAGCTGGGACTACAGGTGCCCACACAACACTCAGCTATTTTTAGAGACAGGGTCTCATTCTTGTTCAGGCTGGTCTTGACCTCATAAGCTCAGGTGATCCACCTGCCTCGGCCTCTCAGAGTGTTAGGATTACAGGTGTGAGTCACTGCACCTGGCCCCTAAAAAATGGAATTTTAACAATCCTAGCTGATAAACCAGACCAGGAGACATCTACAAACCCTCTCTAACATATATTTAAAAAAAAAATCAAATCTGGCTTGGTGCCTGTAGCACAGTGGTTATGGCATCAGCCACATATACCAAGGGTGGTGGGTTCAAACCCAGCTGCGGCCAGCTAAACAACGACAACTGCAACAAAAAATAGCTGGGCATTGTGGCGGGCACCTGTAGTTCCAGCTACTTGGGAGGCTGAGGCAAGAGAATTGCTTAAGCCCAAAAGTTTGAGGTTGCTGTGAACTGTGACACCACAGCACTCTACCCAGGGCAACAGCTTGAGACTCTGTCTTAAAAAAAAAAAATTAAATCTGTAATAGAACCACATTTAATATATATTTGATCTTCAGAAACCTAAATCTAAATACAGTAAAATGGAGTATGGGAATGTAATATACAAAACCTGGCTTAAGTTAATTATCATCTAAATACCTAAAAACATTATGGATACATTGCTGATGGGAATGTAAAATGGTACTTCTCTGGAAAATGGCAGTTTCTTATTAAACTAAAATAGGCAATTATCAAATGACCCAACATTTGTACCCTTTAGCATTTATCTCAGAGAAATAAATATTTATGTTCACACAAAAGCATGCACACAAACATTCATAGAAGCTTTATTTATAATAGCCCAAAACTAAAAACAACCTAGATGTTCTTCATAGGTGGACAGTCAAAAATAGTTAAACTAACTTTCTTACTTCCCTACCATGTCATAGTACTCAGCAACAGAAGTGAACAACTTGATACATGTAACAACTCCAGTGAATGTCCAGTAATTATGCCAAGGGAAGATATACAAAAGGCTATATACTCTATGATTTCATTTATATAACAGATTTGAAATGACAGTATAGAACTTGAAAACAGATTAGCGGCTGCCAGTGGTAAGGGGAGGGGGTGCAAAAGGTAAGACAGGGAAGTTGGTATGATCATAAAAGGGCAACACAAAGGATACTTGTGGTGACAGAAATATTCTGGATTTGGACTGTGATGGTTATACACAAAGCTATAAGTGAGATAAAACTGCCCAGAAGTAAACACAATCACACACAAAACTGAGGAAATCTGAATAAGATGTGTGGATTGTGTCAATATTCTGGTTGTGATATTATACTGTATTTTGCAAGATGTTACTAGCAGGGATATGGGTAGTGGGATAGTTCTATATTATTTCTTATAATTGCATAATTATTTCAAAACACAAAGTTTAATTAAAAATTATGGGTTTTACTTGGTATCTATTCCTTTATCAGACTATCAATTATGAAGAGAACGAATTAAATCAACAAATATTTACAATACTAGATGCTAAGGATACAGCAATGAACAAGGCAGACAAAACTGCCTTTCCTGTGGAGTTTAGATGTGTGCAGGAGACAGACAATGAATAAAGAAGAAAAACACAAATTATGTTAGCTGGCTAGAAGTCTCAGTGAGAAAATAAAGCACAGAAGGAGGATTAGAGTGGGGTACGGTAGTTATTTTAAATACAGTATTCAGAGAAGGACCTATATGGAGGACATCTGAGACCTGAAGGAGAAAAAGCAGCAAGCCATATCTGCAAGGAAAGCATGGTAGGCCAAGGTAACATCAAGTTCAAGGGCTGTCCTGAGGCAGGAGCATGTCTCGCACAGTTGAGGAATGACGTGAGAGTCGATGAAGCTGGAGCCAAATAAGTAGGGCAGAGAAACAGATGAGGCCGGGAGTAGAGGCCATATCGGGTAGGGGCTCATGGGCCACTGCCACAATCTTGGCTTTTCAGTGAGATTGGACGCTGATTTGTGTTTTGCCAGGATTATGCTGGCTGCTGGGTTAAGAATAGGTAAGGGAGCAGCAGTGGGCAAAATATGGGAGGTCAGATAGGAGTTTACTGCAAGGTCCAATGACAGACAGTTTTGCACAGACCAAGGGAAACAGCCTCGGTAGATAGATTGTCATTATGTTGCTGCACATTTGGACCTTGACAGTTATGTGCCAAATCAAACTCGCGCTGCATTAAAACCCTTATAAAATGTTAGTCTTTGTCTTGTAACTTTGGACAACACTAAGGTTTTAGCTGTACAAACCTTATCTTGTGACCCGGAGGGTGTCTCTTCTAGTGTCTCAGTGCTTCCCACATTGGAGAGCTGAGTGCTTGGCTGTAACCCAGGGCTGGAGATATTTGAGTCGCCCATCTGATTCTTAAAAAAATTAAAAGGAAAAGTGTATTATGTGAAAGAAGTTTGCTGTCTATTACTTGGCTCACAAAACAGCATTTGAAGTTATCAGAAATGCTACTTAAAAAAAATAACCAAAAAATCCCCCCAATGCTTGCTTTGGGGGGGGCTCTCATGTAAATAACTTATACAATAAAAATTCTAGAAAGCTGAGTCCCTAATTTTAAAAAACAGTGTTAGCCACAAATGTTATTTTTATATTTGTGTGTTTGCCATCATAATCAGGATACAAAACAGTTACACTAACCCCCCCAAACTTGTCACATTTAGTTCTGGCCTCTCTCAGCTCCTGGCAACCAGATCTGTTCTCTCTCACCATAGTTTGTCTTTTCAAAAATGTCATATAAATGGATGTAATTAGAATGCCGGCTTCTTTTATTTACCACAATTGTCTTGGAGATTCATATCCAAATTTTTGTATGAGTTCATTCTTTTTGCTTTTTTTGAGACAGTCTCACTCTTGTCACCTTGGCTAGATAGAGTACCGTAGTGTCAGCCTACCTCACAGCAACCTCACATTCCTGGGCTCAAGTGACCCCCAGCCATTCGAGTAGCTGGGACTACAGGCAATAGTCACAACACCTGACTAACTTTTCTATTTTTTTTTTTTTTTTTTAGTAGAGACTGGGTTTTGCTCTTACTAAGGCTGTTTTTTTGTTTTTGTATTTTTTTTAAAAAGACATTTGCCCAGGCTAGAGTGCTATGGCATCAGCCTGGCTGAGATATAGCAACCTCAAACTCCTGGGCTCAAGGGATCCTCTAGTCTTAGTCTACCACATAGCGGGGACTACATGCACCTGCCACAATGCCTGGCTAATTTTTTAATTTCTTTTAGTATAGATGGGGTCTTGCCCTTGCGTAGGCTTGCCTTGAACTCATAAACTCAAGTGATCATGCCTCTCAGGGTGCTAGAATTACAGGCAGGAGCCACCACACCAGACAACTTAGACATATTTTTGGAAGAATATATAACAAAGTATTAGCAGTGATTATTTCTAGGTGGTAGAATTATAGGAGGCCCCTAAGTTACAAACACCTGACTAGTGTATGAGTTGCATTTAATGACTAGAGGCTATTACAGCTAATAGGTAAACATATGTGTTCCAACTTATACACAAACTAAGAACAAACCTATAGAACCTATCTCGTTCATAACAAGGGGAGTACCTATATGGTAGTTTCTTCTCTTTGTTCACTATA